CGCCTGGGCAACTTGGCAAGACCTCATCTCTACAATAAATCAAAAATCAGCCAGGCATGGTAATGCGCCTGTAATTCCAGCTACTCGGAAGGCTGAGGCAGAAGGATTGCCGGAGCCCAGTGGGTCGAGGCTGCAGTGGCAGGGGGCGGCCACTGCACTCCAGTCTGGGTGATGGACTGAAACTCCAACTCAAAAAAAAAAAAACCTAGTTAAAATATTAACACAAAAAATCTTACAGTACAAAAACTGGGGTCTATTCCAGAATACAAGGATATCTCAATATTAGAAAATCTATTAATATAATTAATCATATTAATAGCCCTACAAGGAGAATGCAAATAATCTCCATTAATGCTAAAATGTCATTGAATAAAATCTGACATCCAATTTTGATTTTTTTTAATTTATGGATAAAATAGGAATGAATATTTTTCAGTCCAAAAGCTAGCCTAATGCCTAATGATGAAACATTATAACACTCCCTCTATAATCATGAAGAATCATCACTTTTATATAATATTATTCATTAGTGAAAACAATTAGCAAATGTAGTGAGCAGCATGAAGATCGGAAGGAAAGAGGTAAAATTATTTCAGATGACATTAATATACCTAGAAAACCAAGCAATTCAAATAAAAGAGCTAATTCTGTAATAGAACAAAAAAGATAACAATTATAGGAATAAAAATTACAAGAAATGTACATGGTCTAAAGAAAAAATTTTAAACTAAGAAAAGAACATTTTTTAGTCAGGCTTGGTGGCTCAGCCTGTAATCCCGTGCTTTGGGAGGCTGAGGTGAGTGAACTGCCTGAGCCTGCGGGTTCGAGACCCCCCTGGGCAACTTGGCGAGACCTCATCTCCACAATAAGTCAAAAATTAGCCGGGCGTGGTAGTGCGCGTCTATAGTTCCAGCTACTTGGAAGGCTGAGGCGGAAGGATCGCTGGAGTTCAGCAGGTCAAGGTTGCGGTGGCCGGGAGCAGCCACTGCACTCCTGTCTGGGTGACAGAGTGAGACTCCAACTTAAAAAAAAAAAAAAAAAAAGAACATTTTTTTTTAAAGTCCTAACATTGGAAAATCATCACTTCTTGGACACAAAGACTCAATGACAAAAAATCATTTTATAAAAATTCATCACCAGGTAGAAAATAAAATGACCAAGTGCAGTGACTCACATGTATAATCCTAGCACTTAGGGAGCTGAGGCAGAAGGATTGTTTGAGGTCAGGAATTCAAGACCAGCCTGGGCAACATAGCAAGACCTCATCTTTACAAAAAGCTTTTAAAAATTAGGTAGGTGTACTTGAAAGGCTGAGGCAGAAGGATCGCCTGAGCCCAGCAGGTTGAGGCTGCAGTGACCATGAGCGTGCCACTGCACTCCAGCCAGGGCGACGGAGTGAGACTCTAACTCCAAAAATAAAAAATTAGCTAGGTGCAGTGGTGTGTGCCTGTAGCCCCAGTTTCTTGGGAGGCTGAGGCATGAAGACTGCCTGAGCCCAGGAGTTGATGCTGCTGTGAGCTATGATAGAAACACCGCACTCCACCCAGGGCAACAAAGCAAGACCCTGTCGGAAGGAGGGAGGGAGGGAAGGAGGGAGGGAGGGAGGGAGGGAGGGAGGGAGTGATCTATTACAGATCAAACTTAGAATGTGACAAATGCTGACATAAAATTCCTATCAGGCAAGGCGCAGTGGCTCAAGCCTGTAATTCCAGCACTTTGGGGGGCCGCAGCGAGAGGACTGCCGGAGCCCACAGGTTTGAGGCCAGAGTGGGCAACATGGTGAGACCTCATCTCTACAATAAATCAAAAAATTAGCTGGATGTGGTAGTGAGCGCCTGTAGTTCCAGCTACTTGGAAGGATCACCAGAGACCAGCAGGTAGACGCTGGGGTGGCCGTGAGCATGCTACTGCACTCCAGCCTGGGCGACAGAGTGAGACTCCAACTCAAAAAAAAAAGAGAGAAAAAAGTCCTATCGGATAATCAAATGAAAATATTTTCACATGAGCTAAAAATCTATTAATAGCATTTAAAACCAAAACAATACTTCCATATTTAAGTATATTCTTCACATAGGAAGAGCATTTCAGCAAGAGGAATACAGGCCACAACGCCATCCTCTGGTATTCAGAAAAATTACTAAGGTTCAGCTTACATGCAAATTCCAATCCATCTTTGGCTACTAACTGGGCTTTGGTCACATGCTATTTAGCGTGTTACCAAATACTCTCTCCCAATTTATCCCATTGGGAAAAAAGATCTCAAATTCATATTATGATCTAGAAGAGGCTATCCGTCTTACTGCAGTATATACACAAAAGTGACTCCTGTCTATTACAAAATAAACTACACGTTCATGTCAGTACCCCAAAGCAGTAAGCTGACAAAAGCAATACATTTACAAAGTCAACTGAGCCACGGTGATGAGGATGGAGCTGACATTGTGACAACCACAGCTGCCCTAAGAGACATCTTTCATTTCTATTTCCTTGCCTAAGTCATTTCTCCATTTATAAAGTGCATACAATGGCAATTGCCCAAACTGGCTTTCAGAATTACCAAAGAGGTTAAAAGAAAACACAGGTACGGCTGCTTTAAATGGTGAAGAAGTGCACTGCAGATTAAGTATGATCTACATGTGACTCAAACATCAGACAGACAGTCTGAACAAAGAAGGGCCAAGTCACTCACCACGGACTGATCTTCATCAGTGGGATTGGGAAGCAGGTAAAGAAGACGGTGCCGAGGAGAAAGGGCTTCCTCCCCCACACGTCAGAGAGGGCACCTATGAGTGGAGCACTGAGAAATGAGAGCAGGCCCTGGAGAAAAAGACAGAAGCAAAGGTTAGTTCGTAACTTGATCCCCCAATTACCTGTAATTCTTGTTTTCTAAACACATTTCTAATTCACTTTATTGGTCCCAAAACAGAATAATTTGAAACATTAAGTACAAACTGCTATTAAAAAGAAAAGATTCTAACAAAAATTTTAAATGTGCTATTAGAAAAGAGGGAAGGGGAGGGTAAAAGAGCTTGCTTTCCAGAACAAATGCAAAGAGGAATGACATGAAATATACATACTCATTTTTAATCCTTAAGATAAACTCACACCAAGCATATGGGGAAAAGTAAAAATACTTAATCATTTCAATAAATACATATGGCATATCTACTCTGCACAAACTCTGTTAGCTGGTACAATGACACCCAATTGAATATACACCACATATCTTCCCAGGACCTCACAGGAATAAAAAGGATGAATGTATATACACTAAGTGTCCAAAATAAAAGTAGATTCTTGTCAATCAAAGTAAAGGTTCTCTCTGCTTGATAAATTCAGGAAGAAAAAGACAGTCCAACTTGAACAAAAACAAGAGTTGAAACTAAGGGGAAGCAAGCCTGAGATAGATACCACCACAAAGTAGTAAAGGAAGTCAAGAAACTCATATTCACTACTTGCCCACTATTTGCCACTCTGTTGGCTGGCCATCTTCTTATCAATGCTACAGATAAAGCAGCTGGGGACGAGTGGGGAAGAACAAGGATGGGTAAGTGCTGATAAATCATGAAATAGGTGATGAGTATACGGGAATCCTTTACATCAGGGGTCCCCTACCACGGGGCCATGGACCAGTACAAATCAGCGGCAGGATTAATTCTCATAGGAGTGTGAACCCTATTGTGAACTGTGCATGCGAGGGATCTAGGCTGCGGGCTCCTTAAGAGAATATAATATCTGATGATCCTCTCCCCTACACTGTTCATGAAAAAACTGTCTGCCACAAAACCAGCATCTGATGCCAAAAAGGTCAGGGGCCACTGCACTGTATTGTGTTGTATTTATTTTCGTGTGTTGGAGTTTTCATGATAATACATTAAAAAAACATTCCTCAAGGGAGGGAGAGTGAGATGGCTAACTAGCAGCAGCTGGCATACACATACTTCTCTCACAGAGAGGAACCAAAAATAAGAGCGAGTCTCTACACTCAAAGCAGGTCGAGGAGGAACACATACTCTGGGATGCAACAGGTCTTGTGGGAGGTAGAGCAGTGCAGTCAGGCAGCAAGACAACAGGGACCTGAACCCAGTATGGAGACACAGAAGTCCCCCACCGTGGTGAAAGGGTGAGTGACGGAGAAGGGAGACATCCCCAGGACCCCCAACCACTGCCAGGGTCCTGGTGAGCCAAGTCAAGAGCCAGCCTCTGAGACACACCCTGGGATCCCAGGCCAGCAGAGTCCCCAGTGGCGACGGCACAGAGCCACCGCCCAAGCCCACATGGAATCCCCGCAGGCCACTGACCCCTGTGCAGCTCAGCACCAGCAGCTGCTGCTGCGGGCCAAGGAGGGAGGCTCGACACTTGTCCACTGAGAAGCAGGTACTCTGCAGCAGCTGCAGCCCTTGCCACTGCTGCTCCCAGCTACGGGGGGAGACCCACAGCAGAGCACCAGAGCTGTCCACAGCTGAAATAAGCAGAAGCAGCAGAATCAGCCCCCCCATCTTGGCTGCTTCACTGGACTGCCTGCCACCAGCTGGCCGGCAGGCAGCAGGAGGCCCTCATGCCTGATAGAACATGACATCAAGGACATGCCACTCTGCTCCCTGGGGAGGGCCAACCACTAGTGCCGTGAAGCAGGAACTTGGCAAACCTGAGCACATCCTTCCCAACAGTCTCTGCAGCTGCACTACGTGAGAGCAGAGAGTGACTGAGCATTCAACAGGCCCCTCCATGAAGCCTGCTTCCCCCGTCACAGACCGCCAGCCCCGGAGTGAGCAGGGCCCTCACAGTCATCTGAACTCAGGGGCACAGACCTGCCACCTTCAGGCAAGCTGGCTGCTGGGCCCACTAGGCAATTCCGCTGGCGCCATCTACACACCTACAGTCTGAATTACAACACTGAACCCCCCAAAAATCTTCACAACCAGCAGCTCTGAAAGAGTGAAGCATCAGCACCCTCAGCTGGGAAGAAATCAGCCCACTCCAACAACACACACACAAGGAAGAGCTTCGCCATCCCTACACAATCGCACCAGCTCCCAAGTAATGAATCATATACAAAAGACATTGTCCGAAATGACACTGAATTCAGAAATGGATGGCAAAGAAAGGTGGATCACTGAGATCCAAGAGAAAGTGGACTCCTAAATCAGAGAGGCCATGAAAACAATTCAAGAACTAAAAACCGACATGATCTTCTGAGAAAGAACCAAACTGAACTCCTAGAAATTAAGAACTCACTTCAAGAATTTCAAAACACAGTCACAAGCCTTAGCAACAGACTTGACCAGGCAGAGAAAAGAATTTCAGAGCTTAAAGACCAATCCCTAGAAGCAACCCAATCAAATAAAAATAAAGAGGATCTTTTTAAAAAATGAACATAGCCTGCAAGAAGTATAAGATTACATAGAGACCAAAGCTATGTCTGATCTGCATTCCTGCGAGAGAAAGAGAAAATGGGAGCACTATGGAGACCTTCCATGCAGACATAATGCATGAAAACTTCCCCCATCTTGCTAGAGACATCTACACAATGATACAAGAAATCTAGAGAACTCCTGTGAGATACTACATGAAACAACCATCCCCAAACACATTGTCATTAGATTAACAAAGATTAGCGTGAATCTTGGATAGGCAGCTAGAAGGAAGGGACAGAACTGCCTAAGGAGACCCACTAGAATTACAGCAGACGTCTCAACAGAAATCTTCTAAGTCAAAAGAATGACAGCTCGTTTATAGTATTCTTAAAGAAAAGAAATGCCAGTTAAGAATCTCCTACCCTGCCAAAGTAAGCTTCACAAATTAAGGTGAAATTAAGTTCTTCCCACACAAGAAAGCACTGAGGGAACTCATTACCTCTTGACTAACCTTACTTAAGGCTTAAGGGAGTTATAAAAACAGAAGCAAAAGAAAGACGCTACCCACCACAAAAGCACACATAAACACATAGACCACATAAATTATCCACAAAACAGACCAACTCCTCAACAACACTATGATAGGAACAAAGCTATAGTAACACATAGCTATAGTAACCCTGAATGTTAATAACATTCATGCCCAAGTAAAAGACAGAGTGGCAAACCAGATTACAAAATGAGAGACACCCTTTTGCTGTCTCCAAAAGACCCATCTCACTTCTAGTGACACCCACAGGCTTAAGGTAATGGAATAGAGAAAGATCTACCATGTAAATGGAAAATAAAAAAGAGCAGGGGTGGCTAATAAAAATGAAAAAAGGACAATGAAGGGCACTACATAATGATAAGGGGCTCACTTCAAAAAGAATTATCTATTTCAAATATATATGCAAACAACATATGAGTACCCAGATTTATAAAACAATTGCTACTTAACCTGAGAGAGGACATAGCCACACCGGAAGAGTGGGTGGTTTCAACATCCCACTAACAGCTTTAAATAGATCAAGGCAGGAAACTAACAAAGAAACTCTGGACTTAAATTTAACATTCAACCAATCAGATTTAAGAGACATATACAAAACATTTCACCCAACAACTAAAGAATATACAACCGCCGGGCTCGGTGGCTCAGCCTGTAATCCCGCGCCTTTGGGAGACTGAGGTGAGTGAATTGCCTGAGCCTGCGGGTTCGAGACCCGCCTGGGCAGCGAGACCTCATCTCTACAATAAATAAAAAAATCAGCCGGGCTCGGTGGCTCAGCCTGTAATCCTGTGCCTTTGGGAGGCTGAGGTGAGTGGATTGCCTGAGCCCGTGGGTTCGAGACCCGCTTGGGCAGCGAGAACTCATCTCTACAATAAAGTAAAAAATTAGCCAGGCGTGGTAGTGCACACCTGTAATTCCGGCTACTCGGAAGGCTGAGGCGGAAGGATCACCGGAGCCCAGCAGGTCAAGGCTGCGGTGGCCGGGAGTGGCCACTGCACTCCAGTCTGGGCGACAGAGTGAGACTCCAACTCAAAAAAAAAAAAAAGAATATACAACCTTCTCTTCCATACATGGTTCATACACGAAGATCAACTGCGTACTTCATTATAAACCAATCTTGAATAAATTCCAAAAAACTGAAGTCATATCAAGCATCTTCATTGACCAGAGCAGAATAAAACTAGAAATTAACTCCAAGAGGAATTCTCAAAAACACACAAAAACATGGAAATTAAACAACTTTCTCCTAAAAGACTGTAGAGTAAACAATGAAATCAAGACAGAAATTTAACAAGTTTTTGAAACAAATGAAAATGAAGACACATACCAAAGCCTCTGGGACACTACCAAAACAGTGATAAAATTAAAATTCATTGCACTGCAAGCCCACATCTTGAAAAGAAAAATATCTCAAATAGACAATCTAACATCTCACCTAAGGAAGCTAGAAAGATAGGAAAAAACTAAAATTACAGTTAGAAGATGAAAAGAAATAACCCCAAACAAGAGCAGAATAAATGCAGTTGAAACCAAAAACTCCATACAAGGGATCAATGAGTTGAAAGCTGGTTCTCTGAAAGGATAAACAAGATCTGGCTTGGGAAGGAAGAAGGGAAGGATGGGAGAGGGAAAGAAAGACAGGAGGGGAGGTCAGGGAAGGGGGGGAGGGAGAGGAGGTCA